GGGGTGGGCTGTTTGTTTTAGGCAGGTGATAAAATCGCAGTTAACGAGCTGATAATTCGTTGGTGTTTGTTTTAAAAGACAAATTGTAAAGATTAATCAGGCGGCTTGATTTATGGCGAGGCAGACCCCGGCGCTGCCCGGCCAGGGCTCCCTGAAGCCCCCGTCTCGGGTTACCCGAGGCCCGGCAGGCGAAGAAAAACAAAAGGGGCGAGCGGGCGGCGGCGGTGGCTCCGGCCGCGCCGCCTCGGGACCGGCCCCCCGGCGCCCGCTCCACCTCCGGGCCGGGGGTCCGGCTGCCACCTCCCCGCCGCCGGGTGCTGGCTGCGGCCGGCGCCTCTCCTCGCACCCACCTCTCGCCTTCTGCAACCCCTCCCATCAAAACCCTTTGTAAAATAAATGACCCCTCCAGCAAGGATGAAGGATTTCTGCTGAGAGACCGGCTGAGCTGGGAGATTTCCTAGCCGGCCGGCTCGCGACATATTGGTTTATTTTGTTCTATTTTATAATTTTATTTGATTTAATTTTTTTTTTTAAATTCCCGACGTGTCCCATCCTCTCTGCCTGGTTTTGGCGAACCGGCTGCCGACTCCGGTCTCGGCCGCCGAACGCCCCGGCGGCACGGCTGAGGTTTTTAATTGAATTAATTCACCCACCGGGAGCAGCAGCGAACCGCGCTGGCTGCTGGAGGCGAGCGGCTTAGCTCCGCTCCGCAGCCCGCCGCTCACACGGCTGGTTAAGCAGCTCTTCCCTCAATTTTCTGCCAAGCCTCCCGGGAGAGGGTCCGGCCGGGCCCCACTTCTTCACCCCGCGCCTGCCAACCCCCGTTTACCTTCTTTCCCCGCTTTTTCCCTSGGGCACTACGAGCTCCGTTTTATTAACTTTATTTTGTTATTGCTGTTGCAATTTATTTTTCTCTTTCAATAAGGGAGCTYTCCCAGATCTGGAAACACAACTGGTTATTTTGATTTGATTGACAAGTGATGTCATATCGTTAAGGGAGGGGGGAGACGACAACATGTTTTAGCAACAGTTAGTAGTGCCATGTGATGGAGTTGACACCTATTCTCGGGCAGAGGCGAAGGCAGAAAACAAATACCCCGGCGCCGCACACGAACCATTTATTTACATGTCCTCTTTATTTCCCCCCTCATTCTGGGTGTCTGGATCTGGGAAAAATTGTACCTGAGGAAAACGGGGGTGGGATCCGCAGACCCCAAKGCACGTTCCTCCAGACACCCTTCCTGGGGTGCTCCCGGCGGCCCCCCGAGGGCCAACTCCCCCGGTGAACGGAGACCGGGGGGTCGAGACCTCCCCTGCGGCATCGCCTCGCTGCGCCCCCGAGGTGCAACCCGCAGCCACAAGCGGGGAGGGCAGGAAAACTCCGTGAAAAGAAAGAAAAAGAGGGAGAGAAGTGCGCAGTGCCCAGCCCCGCACGGGGCCGCGGAGCTCCCGGTGGCTGCGGCGATGTGCGAGCCCCGGGGCGGGCCGGGGAAGGCGGCTGCTCGCCGGCAGGGAGGGGGCTGGGAGGGCCTGCTGTGGGCGTCCCGCCCCGGTCCCCCGCCCCGCCGCAGGTTGGGGACCGGCAGGCTCTGCCAGCGGCTCCCACCCGCCCGCAGGTAGGAGCCCCGGACCGCCTGTCCCTGCGAGCAGCCCCCCATCCGCCTCGGCTGTATTTCCTTAGATGCGATTTTTTGGGGAGGGAAATTTCTTTCTTTGTGCTTTTTGAATTTTTTTTTTTCCCCCGGTGTTTTCGTCCCTCTGGTTTTATCTCCGTTTTGCTTTTATTCTCCCCCGGTCCCCTGTCCTGCGTTACTAACACGCATTAATGGCTCCTGATAGGGTTATAAAGTGACACAGTTACCTCGTAACCACAAGACCCGTACTTAAACTGCATCAAAGAAAAACAAAAAGAAAAAAAAACCAAGGCGACAAAGATACGRCTAGGGGAATAAATCACGGGAAATTTAATTTTTCGCTTGTTTTTGTTAATACGCTATCCCCCATCCCGCAGAGGATTTCTGCGGGGTATGTGCCCCACCGTGGGAACCCTCGGTCCCAGTCTCGCTCCCGACACGCTCCCGCACATGTCTTCACCTGTGCTTTATGCGCAATTTGCATGTTGCCCACCGCCCCCGCAGCCCCCCGGCTCGCTCGGCTGCAAAATAAAGGGGAAGAAAAGCCTCAAGTAGACCCCAGCCTGCCCACAAAACCGCCTTTC